CCAGTTTGGTCATCAGTGAGTCTGTCTAAGAACAGTTGAACCACATCTGACAGCTGACACTGGGTCTGACTGATGTTAGTTTCTGTATTGTACTAGTTTTACTAGATTCTGCTATTTTGATACATATTTTGGACATTACTCATTTACCCATCACTTGCATAACTTGGTAATTGTGGCTAACCAATTTGGAAGACCTCTTGAATTTTCCACACAGCCAACTGGCCAAGTTATTTTCAGATATCCAAATTACTCTTGATGCTGGTGTTGCCCTTTAAATGCATGCCTTTTTTTTTTTTCTTCTAATTTGACTTTGTAGACAAATTGACTTTGTAGTGGCATTTCTTCTTACCCAAATAGTTTACTTATGAATGAAGCCCTCTGGCTCATACGTTCTCTATTATTGCTAAGCCAATGCTTATATACTAAGAGTAAATGGAGCTGTTGTACAGCATAGCTAGGCTGGTTTGTCATGATTTCAAGAGAGCTGAGATCTTTTCTTAAGACATGAACCCCTCTAGTGTAAGGACTCAAGAAACCATTTCAGAACTCAACAACGGCATACGAGAACCTCACCCACCCTCCCACCCACTTCCCTGGCCAAATCTACTGGTTTAGGTATTTTTTTCCCCATCAAGTATCAAGGAAATAAATACAAAATCAAAAGACACCCTTTTAATCTACCCTGAAGACTGTTGAGGCAATTTGTGCTAGGGCTGACACTTAGAGTTGCAATTGCCTTCACATTCATTTTATCTTCCTTCAAGGCCCATATCCAATGTCTCCACCCTACATTCCACCCCACAAGGCTTGCTTAATTCACATTTTTCCTACAGTGTTTAAGGTCAATATTAATGGAGTAGCTGATGAAGACTTAACATGTATGTTCCAAAACTGACCTCGCATAGTCCTCGTGTAACTCCATTAATATGTACCGTTATTACCCCAACTTAGAGCTACAGAAACTGAAGGGAAGTGAAGGTAGGTGTACTGTACCTTTTCAGACCACACAGCAAATTAGCATTACTTCCAGGTTGCTAATGTGAGTCATGAGACCCAGGACACACGTCTGTACTTCCTTCTGCATGGCTTCTGTGGCTTTTATCTGGCTTCTTTCACCCAGCGATTTCCAATCACCTGCATAAACAAGCTTTGGACACAATATTAACTTCCAGAGACACTGACACTCTAGGTTTTGCTGATGTTTATTTTCTGTAATTAATAATTAGTTAATTGATTAATTTCCTTTCACTTAGTTTATTTGGTTTTTGAGACAATGCCTTTTATCAGGATGGCTATATATTTCTTGGTCTGCTATCATCTGAAAAGGGCTGGTTCTCCAGGTTTTGGTCTATTGGAGCACTGATCAGTTTGTACTGAAATGTTTGGTTATGTATCAGTTGTCCAAGCTAGACTGTGATTCCCCAAAGCAAACACTATACCTTTAATTTTTCTTGCACCCTCAGCATTTACACCAGTGGTGGGCACATAGAAACTGCTCAGTAAATTCTGTCTCAGGCAACTCCGGCTGCTCTGGCATTCCATACTATGCCTGTGGTGGCTTTACCACCAGAACCTTATCTTCTCACAGAGTTGGAGGTTTGAAGGCTCAGTTAAACATGTTAGCAAATCTTGTGTCTAACAGGGGTTGCTCCCTGGAGGTAGGGAGCTTATCCTGAAGAGCACATGAGGGCCAGTCAGGAGGAAATGAAAACAGAACAAGAGCTCTGTTTTCTTGTAAGGACATTAGTTCAGACTTTGGCACCCTACCCTCATGACACCAACTAACCTACAGATAGAACATAAATTGGTGATGGATAGAAGATTGATGATAGATAGATAGATAGATAGATAGATAGATAGACAGATAGATGATAGATGGTAGACAATAAACAAATTTAAAATTATTTATTGTATGTGTAAGAATGAGGCTCACAATCATCCATAACTCCTGTCCCAGGGGATCCCACGCCTTTGTTTGGCCTCCACAGGCACAAGGTGTACTTACGGGCAAAACACACACATAAAATGAATCTAACAACAACAACACACACACACATCAGGAAAATGTGTAGAAGAGTGACAGAAAAGGACAAGAATATAACATTTACATCTCAAAATTATTTGTATTTGTTTGGGTGGCTCATCAGTGCCCCTTTTTTCTGGTGCCCTCCCACCCATGCCCCCCCCCTTTCCTTTGATCAGGATTGGTTAATCTCCAGGGATTTCCCCTCCCAGAGCTATTGTTGGAGCTCCTGCTTCCTTAATCTAGCTCTTGATTTATTCCCTTGTTTTTGCGGATAGCGTTCTCTAAGAAAAGGATGCCTGGGCATTAAATCTTGAGAACCTGGAATGTTTGGAGTGTCTATCCGGCCTTTCTTGCTATGGCATGGTTCTCCTGTGACCACCCAAAGCTCTCCTTTTCCTTCTGGCTTCCAACTTAGCACCTCAGTTCTCTCATCATGCTTGCTTGTATACACTGGCATCACAGGCGGCTTTTATCTTTTAGTTTTTACTGATGACGATTTCTAACTTGAAGATTGTCTTCTCCGTATGTTTCCATCACAGTAGCAGAGTAGCTGATGACTACTGCGCACTGATACTTTCTGTTTACCTCCCGTCTTTTCCTTCTTGTGTTCAGGGAACAATAAGTTGTCAATGGTCTAATGCCGTCTCTTGAAGTTAGATTTGCTATTTACTTTCCTTTAAAACAGAAATAAATGATAGCCCACATCTGTGATTCCAGTTACTTTAGGAGAATGAAGAGTATAGAGCCAGTTCTGGGCATCACAGACAGAGCTATGCTCTGCAACCCTATCTTGAAAACAAAACAAAACAAAACAAAATAAAATAAAACAAAACAAACAAAACAAACATCCTCAGAAAAGCAAACCAACTAAGATGATGGTTCTTAACCTGTGGGTCACAACTCCTTTGGCAAGCCTCTGTCTCCAAACATATTTACATTATGATTTATACCAGTAGCAAAATTACAGTTAAGAAGTAGCAATGAAATAATTTTAAGGTTGGGGCTCACCACAACATGAGGCACTGTAATAAAGGGTCTCAGCATCAAGAAGGTTGGGAACCAGTGAGCCATGATCTTGAAATTGAAATGGCAATTGTTAGCTACTATATATCGACTTTCTATTTTCATTGTAGACTCTTCTAACTAACCTAAAACGGCCATGGGTCAGGTCATGGATCTCACAGAAGGAACACTGGGAATTAAAAAGACCCCGTTCATATTTCATTTCACTTCTTTCTTTCCTTTCATTTTCTCTTGTTGACTTTGCACGGCTTCATGTTCCCATGTCAGCGATTTCAGTTTTAAAATGAGTACTTAAGACCCAGATCTATATTTGGCTGTGTGCATGATCAACGTCATGTGCAGTTAAATCTTCTGCATTTTCAAACTAATGGCAGAAATTGACCTTGATGTTTCCCAGGGGGACAGAGTCATAAATATAAAAACAGGGGGAAAAATTCCTCACCAAGGTAGCAAATGACTCAGTGCAGCTTCTGCAGCAAATGGGAGACAATTCACAAGGCTGGCTCATCACAAACGGTACAACAAATTACCCAGGAGCAGGAAGGAGCACGGTGCTCAGGTCTGCTGCTGCTGCTGCTCATGTCTATAATATCCTTCTGGAGAAACTAAAGACAAGTCTACCACTTAAAATCACGCTTTGTGATCAAAACAACACAGATATATGGCTGTCATGTAAAGATGGTGTCCAGAACATTAATAAAGGAAATCTACAGATAACTCCTCAAAACTGGGCAGTCGCTGCCCTGACTCTGTAAACCTTTTCAGTGATGAGCTATTAGACCAATGGGTCAGTTTGAAATTCAAAACACCTTACTTACACTTTGACACGGACAGAAAGGCCACCTTGATAAGGCAGAGGGAGGAGCAGGGGAGCAACGTGCTCTTCCTCGAGTGCTAACAGACAGGCGTGGTGCAGCACTTCTCTTGGGAGCTTGTACTGTGCCCTGGCTGTCAGCTTCAGCCTCTTCTGCCTTCTGTCCTTGAAGACGCCTCAGCATACTAGGCTCATAGTCACCTCTTTGTAGCTGCTCCCATCTGCATCCCAGGATAATTGTTTCTGTTGCCGGAGATTTTTAGGTAAAAGTCTGGGCTCCAGGCAAGGCTTAAACACTCATCCGCTTGTGCCCACTAAAAAGACAAATAATCTCGAAAATCAGAGAATGAGGATCTAACATGCACTCTTCCTGACATGCACGTGGCCATGTTCAGAAGAGAAACAAAGGGAGCCAGTGATCTTCAAGCCTGTGTTTGAGTTACTGACAAGAAGCTCAGAATTATGCCTGCCATCACGAAGCCTTCCTGATCCAGGTGTAATCCACCCCACCCATCTTTGCTTAGATCCAGTCTGTCCTGCAAGGTGGTCGAGCTTCCTGGGAAGCTCTTCCTGGGAAGCAGGCTCCCCTCTGGCTAACATAAGGCCCTTTGCCTTCTCCTCTCCCCCGCACAGGATCCCTGCAGAGATCTTAGGTTCTGGCAGGGCAGGTGCACTGCCTGCAACCCCCCTCAAGCTTCAACCTGCCCTATCTACCAGCTGTGCTAATGGTATTTGGAGTATAGGTGCTTTTGAAACAGGCTTGGAGCAAACAGGAAGGAGGCTGTGTAGGACAGGGGAGCTTTTGTAGGCAAGAGGACTGGGCCCTAGGTTCACTCTCCATCTGCATTCATTATACTGGAGTCACAATAGTCATAACACTTTATGTTTTTCATAGATTGGCTGTGAGCCTTAAGTAATAACAATATGAAGAGCTCGGGCTTGTTGCTGACATTAGAGAAGAAATCAGTGAAAGCCACCTACTGTTTGTGTACTGAAGCGATTCCTAATTGCTGGCCTCATCATTTTATTTGACATAGACGTGATAATGACACACAGCCGTTCTTCTCAGTTCATAGCCGTGGGTACCACCCTGCAATAATCAAGGGCTCATCTGGTGGTCGCTTTCTTCATCTCCAGATGGTGATTGGTTGGCTTGGGAGAGGACAGAAGAGCACACATTCTCAGGAGCTCACCACAAGGTACGTGATGAGGCTGGGTAGCCATCTTCTGGATCGGTGATGCCATCCTTGCAACATGCCATTTCCAGACCCGGAAGACTTCCTTCAAGCAGCTGCGATGTCAAGTGTTACCTCTGGTTGCTTGTCCTCTTTTACCTGTGAGGGTATTAAGTTCAGGAAATAACTTACTCTACTTCCTCCCTAAGTAAAAAGAAAGCAGAAGCACAAAACAAGCAGTTCAAGCGCTATGGTAGAAATTAACGTCGTTTTATGTTGTCTTTTTCTTTAATATCACATACTAATGGGCAGCATTCCCTTCTCACAGCTGTTTCTTTTCATCTGATCTTTTTCTTCTGAGCAAAATCTACTCACTTATTATTGATACCAACTGTGGAAGATTTTTTAGTAATTTCGGATGTGGTTGCTTATATTACCTTACTTTTGTTTTTGAGTGACATAAAATGTATTCTTTTTGTTTTTTGTTTTTGTTTTGTTTTGTTTCTCAAAACAGGGTTTCTCTGTGTAGCCCTGGCTATCCTGGTACTCGCTTTGTAGACCAGGCTAGCCTCAAATTCAGAGATCCTCCTGCCTCTGCCTCCGGAGTGCTGGGAATTAAAGGCGAGCACTACCACAGCTCGGCAAAAAATATCTTCTTTAAAGAATAATACTTCAGGGTGGAAATACACGACATTCCCTGGAAAGGGACTTGTCCTGCTTCGGTAGGAGGTGAGAGCAAGCCTGGAGTAGAAGATCACCAACTTCTGAAGTCCCTACCATACTTACACGGTAACTCATTTTTATAAGGTCAACTAATTCACATTTTTAACTGGTGACAACCAGCATGTAAACATTGGCCAATAACTAGAAAATTGTATTATAAAGAACATACATATGTGTGTATGTGTATGGAATCATCTCCATATAAGTGCATTTATGGACAAGCATAGATTCTCAAACTATAATAATACAAACAGCTCCAATACACTGATGCAATTATGAAATAGCTCTTTATGTTTAAGACAAATGTTCATGGTTTTTTGCATCTTTTTTTTTTTGAGACAGGGTTTCTCTGTGTAGCCTTGGTTGTCCTGGATTCACTTTGTAGAACAGGCTGGCCTCAAACTCACAGAGATCCACCTGCCTCTGCCTCTCCATGTGCTGGGATTACAGGTGTGCGCTACCGCGCCCAGCATTTTGTGATTGATTTCTTTCCTGTATTAGAGCACAGTGCTGTGCTTTCATGCATAGCATAGAAATTTTTATCTGTACATAGTCATTTTGATTGCTCCCTGCACAGCTCATAATTTTAAATGGTTTAAATTCATGGTACCATTCAGATATTGTTCAAAAATGCAAATATCCACAAAAGGAATGTCCGCCAAAATGATTTTTCTATATCAGATTGAAGAACAAAACCCGAAGCACAAGTAGGATAAAATAAATTGGCATAAGAACCAAAACACCTGCGGGTGATGGCCAAAGGTGAAAATGGGGCAGGAGAGACAGGAAAGATGGGGTTCTTATTGAAGGGCCCTACAAATTAATAGTCTAACCTCGAATGCTTCAAGCTGATTCTCATGTAAGCATAAACTGAGAGAAGACATTCAGTTAGATTCCTGGGTTCTGCTTGAACACTTTTAGAATATCCCCTGATGCTTCTGATTAGGGAGTCTTCCTCTTGACATACTTTGAGGCGGGCTATTTTTAAGCATCTGTACAGCATTTTGCTTCCCAGAGTTTCAAGACTCCTGATTTCTGCTCGTCAAAGTCAAGATTCCAGCTGATTAAACCATAGGCAGGGGGCAGAGATGGTCCAATTACTGGAGGCAACTGAGCCTGCAGGAGTTACAGGCGTAAAACTGCAGAGAAAGTGAAGAAAACAACAGAGGGCAACACGCTTCATGTCTGCCTACACGAGGTGAGGCGTCATGCAGGTGACTTTCCCAAAGTTGAAGTGACCCATTTTAGAGATTGTGAGAGTGATTCCTAGAGAGATTAGTCAGTTGCCCCCATCGCTCATTCTCTCACTCTTTCTTTCTGTCTCTATCTTCTCTGTCTTTGTCTCTCTCTCTCCTATGAATAAAAGAGAACAGGGTTTCTCAGCTTCAGTACCATTGACACTTGGGAACAGATACTTTTTTCCTGCATATTTTAGGATGTTTAGCATTTCTGGCTCCTATGTAGTTGATGTTAGTAGTTCCCTCTCAGCATGGCAAACAAGTGTCTGTAGTCAGTGTCTGTTGCCTACTGGTAGAAAAACTGCTGCTGGGAAAACATTGAAATATAATGCTGTTTGATGTGCATACTCAATAGGACACAATTTTCTCCCTCACTTGCTCAGTTCTGTTGTCTGCTCCTTTGTTGTTGTTTGGTTGGTTGATTGGTTGGTTGGTAGGTTTGGCTTGGTTTTTTGAGACAGGGTTTCTCTGTGTAGCCCTGGCTGTCCTGGAACTCCCTGTGTAGACCAGTCTAGCCTGGAATTCTGAGATCCATGTGCCTCTGCCTCTCTGCCTCCTGAGTGTTGGGATTAGACATGCACCACCACACCCAGCTTGTCCGCTGCTTTAAAACGTAAAGTGAGAGAGGATAGGAGATGGCAGATTACAGGCTGCCTCCTCCACTTCTCCAAGTGAGGAAGTCAGGCTAACAAAGATAGACTCTATTCCAAAGAGAAGATGAAGGTCAGCAATTCACAAGGGGAGGGAAGAAATTACAGAAACAAAACAAAACAAAAAAAAAAAAACAACTAGGAAAATGAGCAATATGCTTTAGGTTTTTTTTTTTTTTCATATTTCGTGTGTGTGTGTGTGTGTGTGTGTGTGTGTGTGTGTGTGTGCTTGAGTGCATGCACACAACAGTGTGTGTGAGGAGGTAATAGGACAACCTTGTGTGTCCTCTTAGAAAGCATGAAGACATCCTTGCCTTCTATTTTATTTTGACAGAGTCTCGCAAAGGAAGTCTGGGACTATTGTACTAGCTGCTTTATTCCACCAGACCTTTAAGGAAGCACTATCACCAGTGCTGTTCCATGCAATATAAAGGAAGGAACACTACCAAATTCACTTTATGGAGCTGGCATCAGTTACCATGATACCAAAACCACAACAGGAACAACCAGCGAAGAAAGCTACAGACCAGTTTCCCTGAGGAACATTGACAAAAAATGCCCAATAAAACAAACTGAATTCAAATGCACATTAAGAAGGTTAGATACAACCAGGTTGAATTTCATCTCAGGGACAAAAAGATGGTTCAACATGCGCAAATCAGTGAATGGAACACAGCATATAAGAAGAATTAAGAACAGAAATTATATGATCATATTAGTAGATGAAGAAGAAACATCTAGGAAGTTTAACATCTCTTGAAGAAACTAAAATATAAATAACATACTTCAACTCAGTATATATTATATATTATTATATATTATATAGTGTATACTTTATATAGCCAACATTATACTTTATGGGACAGGGGTGGGGACTAAAAGCATAGCCTTTAAAACCTGAAATGAGTCAGGAGGTGCCCCTCTCTCTGCTCTTATTCAGTATAGGGCTTGAAGTCTTAGCTAGAGCAAAAAAGTAAGAGAAAATAAACAGATTCAGCTCAGAAAGGAAGCAATCAGATTGTTTCTATTTGCCTTTTGCATGATCTTTCACCTAAAAGATGCCAAAATCTATACCAGAAACTATAATTAAAATAAATAATAAACTAAATTAAATTCTAACTAAAAGAACAAACAACTTAGATACAATAAACACCTTGGTGTTCACTCGGGCCTTTCCCCGTTCTGTCTCTCCCGCAAGTGCCTCGACTTTATGGATGCTGCCATCCACGTTCATTTTGAGTCTTCCCCATCTGATAACCTTCTCCATAATCACCTTGGGCAGAAAGTGTGTCTCCTATGGGATTATGAATCCCGTCAAATTGGCAACGAAGATCAACCATCATGGCAATACAAATGAAAAAACAAAAAACAAAAAACAAACAAACAAACAAAAAACCAGACTGAGAGTCTTTTTACCTCAGTCTGGACGGTTGTTATCAAGAAAACAAGAGACAGCAAATGCTGGTGAAAAAGATTTCTTACATACTGTTGAGTATGTAAACATAGCAGTCACTGGGAAAATCACTGAGGGTTTCTCAAAATCTAAAATTAGAACTAGTAAATGATCAAAGGACTCTAAGTCAGCACAAGAGAAAACTGAGCATCCTTGTTCGGTGCTGCGCTACTGACAATAGCCAAGATGTGGCACCATTCTGTGTGCCCAGCAACAAATGAACAGATAAACACACACACACACACACACACACACACACACACACACACACACACACGAGATTTCTTCATCTGTAATAGAACAAAATGTCATTTACAGGAAACTGGATAGACCTGGAAATCATGCTAAATGAAATAAGCTACACAGAGGGAGACAAACATGGTGTGTTTTCTCTCAGGTGGGGATAATGTATCTGATAAAAAATGGAGGAAAGGAACCAGCCAGCGTTGGGAAGAGGGATGGAGGAGAGTATAGAGTAATAGGGTTAGAAGCAGAACACCAGCCCAGTCTCTGACCTCCACAAACACAGTGTCACCAGACCTGTTGGAATCAGTGGCGCATCCAAAGGCTGCTGTGTGAGCCCTCTCTGAGAAGACACTGACTCTGCAAACAGTGCCGGGTGCTTGAAAATTCTGGTTCAAGAATTTCCAACGTTCAAGATTAGAGCCTCAGGGCCTTTCCTTCCTGTGGTCAGGAAGTGAAGCAGAACCAGTATACGGCAATTTTTATTCAAGTAAGTTTTTACCAAGATGTTCAGTGAACACACAGGGCCCTCATGCAAAAGCAAGAGTTGGTCATGGGGAGGGGTCTTTTAAGCAAAGGAATGGCATTCTTTCCTACTTCTCTAGTCCCTCCTTCAAGTTCTCTGGGACTTGGTGAATTTCTTTACTTATTCAGAGCAAGTCATTCCATGTTCCATCCTGTACTGATTAAAAAAAAAAAAACTTGAATGACATCATATACAAGATAAAATCCCAACTATATTTTACGAAGTCTAGATATCAATTGTAAGAAGTGCCATTGTCTAATTCACTATTAAGAAAAACAATGTGCTGCCAGTACAACGCTGTTATCCATCATAGGACAACGCAGATTCAGAGACATTGAAATGTGGAGACGTTTTAGAACAGACAGGGTTATGAATCTTGATTGGGTTAATGACACAGAGAGGCAGTTACCATCATCTTTTGAATACAGTTTCCAAGAGGCTCCTTTCTTCATGGGATCAAAGCACATGACATTGAAGAGATGAAGACATTGATATATTGGAATAAGGCGGGAGGACTTGAACTCAGGAGCTCTGGGAATTTCTTCCACAGTGAGGCTGCCTCCATCTCCAGGCATCTGTCTTAGGAAAATGACAACCAATTGCAGAAAGGACAAAATGACAGAAAACTCTGTGAGAAAGGAAAATGTATCCACAATAGGAATACTTGTGTGTACATGTCTGCTAATATATAATAACATTTAAAAAGCAATGTTTTCATGCAAGTTTAATCAACTTATGCCTCATTTTTAATTAGTTTCAAGCTGTTGATTATATATATATATATATATGTGTGTGTGTGCATGTATCTCATTTCAAGCTGTTGATTTATGCATGCGTACACGCAGGCATTTTATATTTTCTGAGTGGCATTGTAACCTCCATGCAATAAAAATGGCCATTGAAAGCAGATCTTCGTATACTGTTGCTCATTATGATGAAAGGCACCTGAGGAAACAAGCCACAGGATCCACTGAGATTCGATGAACGCTGTCATGCATGCCGTAAAGTGTTCGAGTGTCAGCCATCTGGATTTGCAAACATACTGTTTGAGATACACTCCAGAAATGATTTCTTCTGAATTCACACCCATGTCACCAACCCAGGCCATCACAAACCTATGTACATACACAATATATCCACAGTCTATATTGCAAAGCCTCGT